CCCAAACCCCAACCTAGGAGGATATATAATTGGAATAGTCTACGGGAATTAGCTCGTGTTGCCGATTATCAAAAAATCGAGACTCAGTAAGGCCATTGTGTGGTTTGTGGCCTTTATCCAAATTAGGAAATCCATGCTTGTAATGGTATTCTAGTGAGGAGATGAGTATTATTAAACATATAAACATTTAAATATTTGCCTTAGAAAAACCAAAGGGGGGGTATTGTACTTTTCTCCTATCATTTTAAAATCTATCATATTATTTATTTACTTTTCATACATCAATTAATATAGGATAAAATTTTAAGAACAACCAAAAACATATCAACATCTCATCACTTATGGTTATTGAGAAAACTAAATGCTTTTGTCAAAGAAAATATTTTTAGATTTTGTTTCATGAACTGTTAGAATATTATTGTCAAGCCTTTTCTTAAGTTTTCATAAGTGAGATATATTTCCAACAGAAGGTGAGAACAATTATAAATTTAGAAATAACTAAATTTCTTAACAATCAATCATTTTTGATTAAGCAATTTCTCTTTGCAAATGATCCTTTTCTTACTCCTAATTCATATTCACCCTCTAAAACCCAATTTCTGCCTTATTTATCTTTAAAATCAAAATTTAGCTCAATCCACTTCCCTATTTTTATTCCATTTTAATTATAACAACCGCCTCCTCTATCGTTTATGATTTTCCTTACATTAATTAAAAACAATCCTATTCTTCTTCTCTATATTTTGTATCCCATCTTCCAATTTTTTTACCTTCTTGATATACTCCCGCATAAATGATATTGAAAGAGTTTTCAGAATAGCGGTTGGCACAATTCGTTTCATGCAATTCCACCCAAGTTCCAACTTTTAAACCTCTCTCATTGTAAAATCCTCCTCCACTTTAAAAATTATGATATGAAATACTAATTTTCTAAATGAGTATTATTCAATTATACAACTGATATGTTCCATCTACCTATTTTTCTTCCCATTTAATATTCCCCTATAAAAAAGACTTAGTATTCACTAGATTATTTAATAGAGTACTCAGAAAAATTTTCAAACAAATCAATCCATTTTCCAACTTTTTATCCATCCTAATTGTAAGTGCCTCCTCCTCTGATCATATGAATACTTTTATACATTTTTTTGTATTTTTCTAAATTTTTCTGTTTCTATTTGATTACCCATTTTCCAACCCTTTTTCCGTTTTTATACTCTCCAGAATATATTACATCACAATTTCTCTTATTAACTATTTTTATACTCAAAGAAATTTTCGTGTAATTCGCTCCATTATCCTATTTTAAGACCTGCATCCTCTTGATAAGAACCTCCTCCACTATAATTATTTTTAAAGATTATTACATTTTTGAATTGTTTTCATTTTTGAATTTTGATGTCTATATTTCCCAATTCTTGATTCTTCTTCCTTCATTATATTCTCCAACTTCAGTTACTTAGCAAAAGCTTTATAAATAACTTTATATACATCCAAAATTTGTCAACTACATCAATCCATTTTCCAATTTTTAATCCATTTTTATTGTAAAATCCTCTTCCACTAAATAGGTTCATTAAAAGGATACATTATTCTTTCTTCAGAATTTGAGAATTCTTAAAATATAGCCAACCACTCTCCTATTTTAATCCCATTTTAATAGGTTCCATGAAAAGTTACTTAACAAGAACTAATTTTTGATACAAAAAAATTAGGATGTAATTCAATCCATTCCCCTGTTTTTTCACCATTTTAACTGAAATATCCTCCTCCTCTATTTAAGGTTGAATATGATCATGTACATTCTTTTCTAATCATATAGTTTATGATATCTATAATTTATATTCCAATTTCCAACTTTCAATCCTTTTTTATACTCTCCAATAAAGAAAATTTGGCTCTGACTAAATTGATTTTTTTTTTAATTTACTTCCAAAAACTATCACCTAACTCTGTCCATTTTCCTTATTTCATTTCAATTTAATTATAAAATCCTCCTTCTCTATTTTTATAAATCTTACATACATAATTTATTCTTCAAAATTAATATTCCATTTTCCAACTTTCTTTCCTTTTATATATTCACCAACAAAGAAAACTTTGCAAAAACTAAATACTTGAACAATAAAACTCGCAATAATTTTAAGATAATTCTTTCCATTATCCTTCCTTTATTCCTTCAACATTATAGGTTCCTCCTGCTTCTAGATTTTCACCTCTCCATATAGGAATCCACTTTCCTTACTTCTAATAATTTTATTTATATTATCCTATCCAAGAAAGGTGTTTTACTTGTTCCAAGTTTCTATTAATAAAAACATTATTAAGTGAAGGTACCATTTTGTCTCTATATTCTCTAAATTAGAAATATAATAAAAAAATACTCTCCAAGAATAGTTCCATCCTTTAGGTATATAATTTATTATGATTTTATTTCATACTAAAACTATGTTGTTTACAATAGCCATTTCAGATTCTAAATACTTCTGAACAATTATTTTCCTTCATCTTTCCACAGACCAGCTTTTTCATCAAATTTCATAGCACCTATCTTAAATTATAATTTAATTTGTTACTTAATTTAAACTACGTTCATTTACTTAGAAATACTCCCCATGTTTCAAGCCTAATAAAAGCGGTCCTTAAAGTATTTTATTGCTAAATTATTTTTCATAAAAATTACTCAAAAGCTTGTTTTTTATTTTGATAGATTTAATCTCCTAGAATAACCATTAGTCTTTTGAAATATTTGCAAACTAAATTTAATTTTGATTCATATATTTTAACTATTAAGTCCTTTTAATTTTGTCGTCTTTATAATTCTTTACTATTATAAAAAATATAAGCAATATTATTAATATTGTCTTGAGTGCATTCCAAAGGGTTTTATTTTAATAAATCAAAATACAAATTATCTTCTTTTTTTATTTCTTCAATAAGAATTGAAGAATTTCTTAAAATTAAGTCCAATCCTTATTTGATTTCTTCTATTTTAGTGAAAAAATTTTTCTCTTTATTCATGATATAATTGTGATCATTTAAATGATACTGTTATATTTTTTCTTCCATCATTTTTATTAGAATATTTATGGGTATGATTTAATCTCCAGAAGTCTACTTTTAATGCTCAAATTGACATTCTGAACACATTTTTCTTTTACAAGAATGATTTGCCAAGCAAATATGAGAAATAGAATTATTTCCGTGCAAGTCACAAAAATTGCCTTACATTATTATTTAATTAAAATAAAATATTTCTGTGGATATGCAAAAATACTACATAATGATGAACTTTAAAAAGATTCTAATTTTTAGTCAATCTGTGTTATTGCGAAAGAAAAGAAATAATGCAATTCTAACTTCTTTAGTTTCTTTGAAAATATCAACCAGTTACTTATTCTGTCTAAATTAATAAATTAATGGTGTTCTGAATAAAATTTACTATTTTTCATTTTCTCTCTTTTTCAAAAGTATAGAATACTTATTGACCTCTAACAAAATCAATCAAAAATATCTGCAATGAAACTTTCTAATTCTAGGGGATAAGAAAGAAAAAAAAGCCATATAAAAGAAAAGAGAAAAAAATTAACAAGAATGTCAACCAGAAAAGTAGACATCAACACTTAATAAAAAAGCTAACTGCTGAAACATTGAAAGCACTTGAAATATCATCAAGAAGAGGCAACAATATACATACCAGAGCTGAAAAAAAATGGAAGAAAAACAATAATATATATAATTAGCAGCACCAATCCCACAATAGCCTTGGCCATAATAAAAATAAAATGTAAAAGAAGTAGAACGTTTGGAACAATTTTTAAATAAGGAGAAAAAGTACAACTTTAACAATAAAAGAATAAATAACAAAAATTTTAAGATGAAGTGAAAAAAAAATAATATGAATAATATTTACAGAAATAATCTTTTTAAGAATAATTAGATTTATAAAAAAAGGTAGGCTAATTATGTATCTCCTATTTGTTTTATTTTAGAGTATGTTGATATAGTAAGACAATTCTTTTGAACCTGATTAGAAGTAATGTCTTGGTGTAAGATGTAAATAGAAGAAAGAGAATTAATATTTTTAGGTGTGTTTTTATGGTTTTGGATGTAAAAATATTATCACATGCTTGAAAATATGCTTAGGAAAATTAAATCCACTCTATTACTATGATACTGACTTGATAAAGTAAGTTAAAGAATAAAGAAAAAAGAAGCTTATGATATTAGCATCATTATTAAGAGATTAAAAAAATCCAATCTCCTTTATGCATTAACAAAATGAGATTGGAATTTTTTAGACTATTGTAATAGATTATGAATTTTTTAAAAAGCCAGAGCTCCAAAAAGAACAGTAGTCTGGGTATAGGAAAAAAAAATATATATGCAGAAAAGCAAATCACGTTAGAAAAAAATGAACAAAATTTGGTAATTAATGATGCCAATTCCTAGGATTACAAGAATAGTCATTAATATTTTTTAAGAACATTACAGAAATGATGTAACTATGAATGACTCAAGTCAGTAAAAGACTAAAGGTTATTTTTAAAATTGCTTGAAACTTTTAAAGAATTACGAATGATTTCTTTTAGTAATTAATCATCATTTTATCCATTAATTTTACATTATAAAAGTTAAATTTTTCTGTTAAATTTTTAATATTAATTTTTTGTTTGAAAATATTTAGTCTCTATTCCCATGTAGAGACTATAAACCATTTCTAGTTCGGCTTACGTTACCCGAACAGATTTATTTTGAAGTGCTTGGTAGAGAACTTCACTTGACCACATTTGGTTAATGAAGAGAACTTTAGCCAAAGTTATACTATTAAGATTTAAGCCGAACTTGACTTGACCCAAAAGAAGAATGTAGCTAGATTTTAAAGAATCTCTTTTGAGGATGATAGTAATCTACTTAGAAAGAATGATATTTTATTTTATTTTTTTCGGATATATATAATCACTAAAAAATACTATTCTAAAGATAAAATTATAAAAACTTGTTTTCTATTTATATCAGTTTATGATGCGAAATGGATTTCATCTTTCGTAAATTCTTTTAAGAAATATTTATTACATAATTATAAATAAATTTTATATACAGTTTATTTTGTTATAATCTCAAAATGATTAGAAAATCATATCTAATAATAAAACAAGACAAGAAAAAACTATCATAAACTGTGCTATTTTAAGTTTGCACTATAAAATAAGTTATGATTCAATATTTAATATTATTTTTCTTAGATTATTTAATAAAAATGCATCAAAAATAATTGTTGTTAGGAGTCCATACCTTTTTTTCATATAATCTTGGCAAAGTTATTAATTTTTATAATCTTCTTGGTGTTAATGGGTTTTCTGAGATTAATGATGGTTTAGGATCTAAAAGCCGTAAATTAGTATTTGCTAATTAAAATACTTATGTATGCTTTTATTCTAATTCTTTTTTCTTTAAACTTCCAATCAATTATTTATTTTGCTAATATAAAATAACAAAGTACTTCTTCTATTTACAACTTTCTTGTTTAGTTTGTAATAGTTTACCAATACTCTAATCTTTTAATTTCTTTTTCACTCATTTAATTTGGATTCAAAGTTGGAAAGTCACTTTGTAATTTTGATAATGGATGGTCAATTTTATATGTGACTGCAAAATCATTATTAATCATACTTAACTTTGGGCTTTTGTTTCTTTATGGCATAATAAGTTATTCTTTTTAGGTTGCTGTCAATGCTGGTACTTCATTATCAATAAATGTTTATTCATGAAACGTTTACTCAACATGAGTAGCACTAAAAAATGGGGGTCGATTAATAGCATTTTCAAAGCTTGAAAATTTGTTTTTTGAACTTTTTGCCTTTCTTCTTCTTTATTTTTCTTCCTCCAACTTTTCTTATGCTTCACTATATTCATTATGTTATGTTTTTAAGAATATTTAAAGGTCCTTAATTTTTTATTTGTTTTCCTTTATGTTGGAAACAATCTAGAAATTTATAATTTAGTTACCTGTTACTTTATTTCATTATATTCCATTAATTTTATGTCTAAAATTAAGTTCAATATTTAAGAAGTTAAAAAAATCAGATCGACATAGAATATCAACTTTAAAAAGTAGATACCTAAGCATTCCACTATTGTTTTTGAAAATAAAGCAGAAGGATTAAAATATATATTAAAAATTTTAGAAATTCTATCCTAGTATTTCATTATGTCAAAATACTAAGACCTAAGTAATTCTAAATGATAATCATGAAATAAATCAAGATCACTCTCTGCTAATTACTTCCTAAATTTGAGATATTGATAGTTATCAAGGAAACTACTATCTTTAGGAAAATAATGATAATTTATTGTGTTTTAGTGATTCTTATATCAAACCATAACCATAAATGATCACTGGATTAAGGGACTATTTTTTGGGTAATAAAAAAAATTGTAGGAAGTAAAGAGAAAGTAATTTATAGTAAAAAATAGGAAATTCTATATTTCAAATGAAATAATTTTTTATGATTGTTAAACAAAATGACGGAGAAGATGATTAAAGAGGAAAAAACAAAATTAATATTTGAATTAATATGTAGATATTGAAAGTTAAGGTCAGAAATAAGAATCATAATAAAATGATACAGAATAATAAAAATAATATATTTGGAAGCTTTCATTAAGAATAACGTATTTTTAAAAAAGTTTAATGGATTTAAATTCATAATAATTTGATCCAAAAAATTTATAAATAAATAATAATAATTAGAAACTAAGAATTAAATCATACATCAGATTCTAATAAAAATTTGATTTATATCAATAAAAATCATGATTGATATTATTTTCTTTTAGATTTGAGATTGTCTTACAATCTATAATTTTCTTTTTATAATAAATTTAATTTTTCCTCCAAAGCTTGCATTTTTAGTTAATCAATTTATTGCATCTCTTAAAGATATTAAATTTGATTTTCTAATTCAGCCACATAATTATTATCTTAAGTATTACTATGTAGATGAAGAGTTTAAATAGATTCTTTAAACTATTCTAAACTCTTTCTTAATTCATTTACTTCATCCTCCATCTATTTGTTACTTTGTTTAAGAATGGCATTTTCTTCTATTAATCTTTTCATCTTCCTTTAAACATCTGGTGACATCACTCCTTTTACTTATTCATGTATCTTTTCATCAATAATTTATTAGTATTTTCTAATTTCTTCCTCCAAATAATATATTTTTTGTTGTTATTTTTAATTAAATTAATTTAATTCTTCATTTTCCTTTAAAATGTCTTTCAATCTAAATTCCAATTGTTCTACTATTTCTTTATATACATTAAGTTATTCTAAAACATGAGATATATCACTTTATTATTCAATAATCTTTATTAAAATTAATAATACTAAATACTTTCTATTATTTTATCAGTTACTATTGCAATGTGTTAACTTATTATTCCAAATACTAATTAATATTTATTTATTGTTCTAAAACTTACAACATTTGATTTTATTTATCATTGTCAATCAGATCTTAACCAGTGGATTAATTCGATTGATGATATTCGAATTACTTTTGTTCAAATGTCTAATTTAAAGGTTACGACTATCGACGATCGTAAGGTTTATAATTATTATTGAATGAGGTTGATCTAACTTATTTTATTTCAACTTATTTTATTTACTAAGACATAGTATGTAGTTGTTAAATAAATTAATGTAATAAGAATTATTATTGCCAGAAGATATTGAAGATAAGAGATAACTTATAATAGTATTAGAATAGGCTCCATTAGAAATTGCGACAATAAGATAACAAATAGTTTTACTCAATGCTGATGAACATAAGAATTACATCAATTAAACATTGAATAAAGATTATTCACTTTATAGACCTGATATTCTACATCATTGCTTGCTTAGTCTGATGGATTCTCCATTGAATAAGGCAGGAAAACTTAAAATTTATGTTCACACCGCTTAAAATGTCATACTTGATATTAGCCCTAAATTAAAAGTGCCAAGAACTTATGAATCATATGCAGCATTATTTGCATAAGCATTGCATAAGCTTAGAGTAAGAGCTGTAGAGAGTTCAGAAACATTAATTAAAGTTATCAAGAATCCTATCACAGATCATTTACCTAGTGAGGCTCTAAAAATTGGAACATCGACTTAAGCCAAATTAATTGATGTAAAATAATTTGTAATTTTATTAAAATATTAATGAATAGATCAAATAACCAAACCTTAATCAGAACAAACCAATAGTATATGTGATAGGAGCAGTTTCTAAAGGTAACCCAGGAATGGAAGCCTAATATATTGATGAATGCATTTGTATATCCTAATATTCCCTGAGTGCTGGATATTGTTTATAACGAATTTCAAATGCTTATGAAGAACTTTGGGGGATTAAATGAGTATAATTAAAATATTTATAATCTGATGGCAACTTTAAATACATAAGTTTCTTTAACAAATCTTATGAATACACTTAGTTTATTTTAAACCTTAAAATCTTGTTGTTTACAAGAAAATAAGAGCAATTTAAAAAATAAAAAATCAAATTCATTTAAAATAAGATAAAATCAATAAACTTCAAATTGTTCATTATTGTATTCATACTCAAAAATATTACCTTCCAAAGAAAATAAATTTTGATAACTTTTTGGAGTTTTATGAATATTGTAAAAACAAATATTGTATTCAAAATAGAAGAACGATTCATTTTATAGCAATTTTGATATTTTATCAAAAACTAATGAAAAGATCACAGAATATGATTAATAAGAAATTCTATATTATATAATTGATATAATATCAATCCTCTTATTTGTATATAATACTTAAAAAACTTAAATAATTGTGATCGAATGTAACAATAACAAATAAAAGAATTACTAAAATAAGTTGTATTAAAAATGGTTATTTTATTTTTGCTTCAACCATAAATTTAGAAATTATTTTCTTTCTAATTTATACAAAAGAAATATAAAAGTCCCTTGACAATATTTGGAATATTTTTTTTTATTTTAGAAATATGTTAATACACTATTAATAATAAATAGGAATCAATATTAATTCCTAAAACCAAAATTAAATAATTTTATTCTAAAAAATTACAATATATAACATTAGTAATATCATTTGTTTTGTTTTATTTTAAATTTTTATTCTTTTATTGGCTATAAAAATTTTTTAAAGAAAATTTCTTACTCAATCAATAAATGCTCTGATTTCACACTTCTTAATAATTGAGATCTACTAATTTACTTAGTATCATCTCTTTCGGAAGATGTGTGATGACGTTTAATTTTCTACATTAATACTAATTCCATTTAATCTTTAATGTTTATTGGTTTAACATTTTTATTTTCTTATCTTTCAATTAATTTTGCAAATCTATAATTTGTTCTCTAAGTTCTATGATCAGGAAGTATTAATATATCTGATTCACAATTAGGATTTAATTTTTATCTCTATAAGGTTGGAAGATCATCTGAAGTCTTGCAATTTGGAATAGAAGTTCTCTAATTATAATAGAGATAGTTGTATTAACGTATGGACTGTTAAATCTATGAGTTTCTGTTCATTAATTTATTCATTCTTTTTTCAAATGTACTATTGAATTAGTCATAATTTAAGATTGGTTATATCAGATTTGTATTAATTAATTGGAGTTGAGGAACATCTTCCAAACTTGTTATGCTCATGCAAATACGATTATTGATTCTATACAACTTTTTTTTAACCAATAAATTTAGTAATTGATATGGCTATTTGTAATCAATATTTTTGGAATTGTAATATTTATTAAATAAGTATTAGACATAAGTAAAGTCTATTTTATAATTGGCAATCTTAGGATGGATTGGTTCATCAATTAACTTTTGTGATTTTATTAATTTCATTCTTTCTAATTATAATCTATACTATATCATGGATTATTACATACTCTTTACTATTTAAAAATGTCATCCAAGGTAGTCCAGTTATAGTTTAAATTTCTTATTATTTGAATAAATTTAATATGCTCTTTGATAGAGACAGAAGAATTGATAGGGAAATGTAATTTATAATAAGAGAAAGTGAGATTGGCTATTTACAGAATTTACTACTTGACAACATCCAATTCAGATTAAATCCATTTTGATTTGATAAGTAATTTTTCTTCTTTTTGAATTTCTTAGTCAATTAAATTGATTTGACATTCACAAGCTGGATTTTATTCATTTAGTAGAGCTATCTTAGTTAGTAAGATTAGATGTTCACGTTTCAAAAATAACAGGATTAGGTTATATTTCATTAATTTTTATTATGTTAAGAATATGTTAATGTATTAGGTAATTATTCATAAGATGTTTAAATATCTTCAAGTACACCAGAGTAGAGAATGTAGAGAAGAGCTATTAGATGGAGAGTGTAAGCAGAGATATTGAAAGCAATATGAATGCTGAGTTAAGTAAATATGGGTAGAGACTGTATTTAGGAGCTCATGAAGACTCATTCATTTAGAATCCTGAAAATAAAATAGAAGAATTTGAAAATAAAGCCAATTTTTAAGATTGTGAATAATTAATTGACGAGGAAACAATTCGATAATTTATAGATGATATTCCTCATATCTCATTTTCTTAAAGTGAATTAATTAAGGAAATAGGAGAAAGAGCAGTGGTTGTATTTACCTAAATAATTGATAAAATGGATGGGTTTGAATTGTTAGAGAAAGATGAGGACTTCAATTTTTGGATTAAATATGTTGAGACTTCTGAAAAATTTCAGATTGGTATAATGAAATACACATATACTTTGAATACATCTATTGACTCCTACATAGAATTCATGAAGGATTTACAATTATAAAAATAAATGGATAATAGTATTGATGCTTTTGAGAAACATTATGAAGATATAAATTTTTAGATCAATTATCTAAGATATAAAAAGATTATGTTTATGGACCCAAGAGACTTTTTATATATTAAATATACTGATAGAAAGGGAGATGATTGTATAGAGATTTCCAAATCTATTAATATTGATCATTTTCAACCTTAGTAAGTTATAATATTTATTAATTTAGAGAATTACCTCCAAAACAATGTACTAGGGCTTTGTTATTATTAAGTGGGAATCAAATCAAGTAAATTGAGGACAATAAAATTATGATAACAACTTATTCTGAATGTAACATGAAATTGAAATTAAAGCCTGTTATGACAAAGTAAGCAAGCAAAAATGAAATAAAAAAAATGGTTAAAAGATATCGTGATCATTTTAATCAATGATGAAATTTTTTAATATTTTTTTTATTTAATTTTGATTAATTGTAATGGATTAGGATAATTATTACTAAGATAGATTAGAAGTTGAATCTCTCTAACAACGTCTACATAAAACTAAATTTTTAGAGGATGAATTTGAAAATTTAAATAATTAATTCAAGCCTAATCATCTAAGAACTATATAGCCAGTTTCTTTTAGTGATACTGAAATTAAATCCACTCGCTAACAAACATGTAAGTTTTAAGTTCTTTACAAACGAACTGTTCCATTAAATTTGAAATTTGAATAAAAGAGTTAATCACAATGTCACTCAGAATCAAAATCTCAGATTGTAAAAATTAGAAAAAGAATTGCTAAAAAATTTGTTAAAAAAAGCAATCCAAAATGAATTATTAATATATATATATATCAATCATATAAATGAACTATTATAGAATGCAACATAAGCCTTTATTTTGGATCTAGTTAATTTTGTCTATCAAATATTCTTTAGCAATCTTATGATGATAAATTGTTAAACTCACTTAATTTTTTAAATCAATTAAATTATTATTATTATATCTTAATAATAATGTTTATATGACTATTTATTAGAATAAAAAATTATCACAAGAATTGATAGATTAAATTAAATAAATTCTTCTCTATTACTACTTATTACACAAAATAAGTTCATAGAAAATTTGCTGATATTCATGACTGAATATAAGGAGATTTCAATAGATATAAAATATTTCAGAGTTTATATATTGAAACACTTATGTAAATAATTATGATACATTTTCCGATCTCGATTGTAGTATTAGTAATGCAATAATATTCAATCAAATATTTTTCTTTTGCTACTTTGTAATTAACTATTGTGTCTACAGTATAAGCTTCGTTACAAAGGACCTAAATATTTTTAAGAACTACTTAAAGATGTTTTTCTCTCTTCGAATATTTTTTCTCTATTAGAATAAACAAAACGAGAGCTATGCTGATACTAAGTAAAGTTTGCAGGATTGCATGATGTCTAGAGAGTGAATTCTTACAGTTTAGTTTGATCCTCATCTGATGAACCTTCTAAAGTTGTATTAAGTTGTGAATCCTTCTACTTACAATTAATAATATCCTTTTAAAAGTAGATTTCATTATTTATTGAAAATATTGTATATTCATCTGGAAAGCATTCCTAAAAATATTTTAGCTCTCCTGTTGCCATTTTATAATTTGATTTAATATTTGAATTAGATTATTTTGGTTAATTCTTTTACCTAATAGGACCTGGAGATTTTGATTTAGATTTTTAATTGCCCTTAAATTCTGAAGCTTTTTTTTAGGTTGATAAGTATGATTATTACCTAGACTGTTTATAATAATTTTTTATCATTTAAGTATAAATACTCAAAGAAAATATTAATTTTATTATGCAATAAATGCATCTAATAAACTATAGAATTACAGATTAATTATTATAATTAATACATTTTTAATTCATTTTGTACTTGTTTAAGTCTTATCAAGCTTTTCAAGTTTATCAACTTTATCACCTCCTAAAATATTTGCCTTTACAATCTTTATTAACAAATTTAAGAAATTTGGATTAACTTAGCCAAAACCCGCTTATATTTATGTTGCCCCTTAATATTCTTATGGTTTTAAGGAGAATTCTCCTCCAAATTTTGGTATAATAATATCAGCATACTATTCTGTAGGTTTAATTATTGATTCATAAAGTGGCTTTAATCTATTTAAATAATTGTGAATGACTTTTTCCACATCTTTACCTTTTGCACACACTTCCTTATAGACTAAAATGATTATAGTTTATAATACTTTTTCTTGATAATCTCACATCTTAATCATGATGCAAGAATATCTTTAAATCAAGCAAATCTCTTAGTTGTCTGTCATACAAAATTAAAGTTCCTTCAATAATGATTACATTCTTATCTCTAGTAGTTAAAAGAGTATTGATAGCTGTTGACTAAAACTTAGCATAAATTAATACCAGAAATTTTTAATAATCCTAATTATTAACATAAGGAACATTATTGAGAATATCAGAATTCTACTTACTTAAATGATTAATCATTAATTACTAATTGTCAAAATCATTACTATCAACATCAAAATTATCTTATTTAACTACATTAACTAAAAACCCTAATTATTATAGTTCATCCATTAATTTTTCTGTTAATAAGGCTTTACCGGAAGAGTGACCACCACAAATCTTAATGATTATTATGTAGATTACTCCAATTTTGAATGGTTTTCCACTTAAAGGTTATACTTTAGGACTTGAATTAGAGCGAACTAATTCATTTCCAAATACAGGAGTCATAGTCTTATCTTTAGGAGTCTATTCTGGTGCAGCACTTTCTAATGCTTCAAGTTATGCTAAATTATCCATTAATTAAAACAACTAAATTCTTTATTTATTTTTCTATCCAAAATACTAATGAAATTATAAAAGATAGTATTATAAGAAATCTAAATATTTTTTGTAATAAAAATATTTTATGCAAACTCATTATCATATAAATCCATACCATTTTTTATATTTCAATGTTTTGGTTCCTTTTTCAATTAACCAATTAGTTATTGTGACAAATACACACAACATAGTTAATTGTACACTTGGTTCTTCACTTGATGGAAATGTTAGTTCAAGATAAGAATTTAACATTTCACTATAGTTAAATGCTGATATTATACACAAAACAAGAGGAATAAACTAAAAAAATATAATTAAAATTTTTACTAAGCTTTTGAAAAATTTAGATTTCACATCAATCTTTTGCATATGCGGTTCTCCAGGATGATTAAATAAAAATATACAACTTTATTGCAATAATTGTAATAAAAACACTGTTGTATTCAAAAAAGTAGGTTTAAATTCAGTATCGTTTTTAATTTCCTTTTCTATTTCAGTCATATTTGGCATGGCTATATGATGAATGGCATAGTGCATAGACCATACATGCAAAATGACTTAAAGTGTTAATGAAATGAAAAATGAAAATTCAAAAATTGAAAAACTTGGTTTTATTTTAGATAAGTTTCTTTAAGGTTTAGCAGAAGAATAACAAAAATAATATGCAGCACCTAAGATTCCCATTAAAGTCATCTAAGTTTCACTCATTTTCAATGATTACATATGTAAAGCACTTAAAGAATATGCATTTAATACACTTTATAATGCCATAATCTTATAAGTTTAAATTGTAGTCACTAAAGTACAGATTCCTTATTTTAGAATAGTATGAACACATCTAATACTTGTTGACATTTTGGATGTAAAAGGGGCAGCAATACAAGCATCACCAAATTTATAACTTGGTCCCATATCAAACAATCCAGCTGCTTATTATTGCATATGTTAATTAGCAATATTTTTCATCTTCTCCTTATCTCCTTTAGCTTCGCTCATTTTCTTTCTTAACTCTTCTTACTATTTTTTAACTTATTTCATTTATTCTGTAAATGATAAGTTTGCAATTCTCTCTTCCTCCTCTTCATCCTCTTCCTTCTATTCTTCTCCCTAATTTGTAACTAAGGCTATTCCAACATCTGCCTTCTTTAATGCTCCAACATCATTTGTACCATCTCCACACATCAATACACCTTTACCTTACTTTTTAAACTGAATAACAATAGTTTCTTTTTATTTTGGTGACATTCTTGCAAATATAGAAAAGTGTATTATCAATTTTATTAGATTTTAATCTATTAATTTTTCCATAATTGATGAAGATATACACAACATACCTTCTGATTTTGTGATTTCTTTTTCTAAATTATTCAATACTTTTGTGTTTTTAGTACCATGTTCAATTAATATATAGTTATTATCATGATAATCTAAAATATAAGTTTTTTAATTATCATTTAATTTTAATTATTTACCTACTGCAATTGCAGTAAGTAAATTATCTCCTGTAATTATGATTGGTTGAAAATAACTTGATTTGAATTTTTGGATCCATTATTGAGTGTCAGTCTTTAATGGAGATTCACATATTAGAAATCCGCGGAATACTAAATTCTTTTCTAATTCTTCCCTCTCTTAATTCTCATATTATTCAATTTCTCTGTCTGCCAAACATAGGACTCTATATCCTAAATTTGAATAATGTTAATAACAGTATTCATACTCATCTGGGACTTCTTAAAATAGTTATTATAGTGCCTCAGGAGCACCTTTAACTAATAGTCTATAATGTCTTTGACCCTTCTAATCAACCTATACGACAGTGCTCATTCTTTTTAAATCACTTTTGAATGAGAATACTTATTATTAATAAAGTGATAGGCCTAAATCCTTATTTTAAGCATACTTCTGTTATGTTTAATAACTCCATTAATTATTTTGTTAAAAAAATAAGAGTTCAATTGGATCACCTTACAATTTATTATCAGCATATATTAATTGATGACATCCAGCCAAAATTTATTAGCAATATAAGGAACAATCACTTTTAGACTTTGAACTTCTATTAATACAATTATCTACAATTCCAGAAAACACCAAAGTATCATTAGTTAATGTACCTGTTTTATCAAAAGCCAAAACCTCAACTTTTCCAGCCAATGGAATTCTGAAAGGTTCTGTACAAAAGATCTTTCGCAATTATAATAAAGCTAAAGATTAATTAACAGCTATTGATAAAATCATAGGCAATTCAGGTGGAACAACAGTAGTTACAATTAATATACATCGTATAAATAATTTATTTTTATTTCTAGATTCTTCTTAAAGTCCATTCATTAAAACATATGCACTTGCACTTAAGGCAAAGATAAGTAAAACTACTACTATAAATAGTCCATCTGTTTATTTAACATTAGCATTTTCATTATTGTAGAATACAGTCTTTATCAACTTACCTTTTGCAGTATCAAATCCTGTTCTTAATACTAAACCTAAACAATGAGATTGCTTTTAATCATTATTGATATGAGATGGATATTGTGTATTACCTTATAATTGAATGATTTCAGTTCCACAAAATATAACATTTGATTTATGTTTATTTTTGATATCCAATTATTCATTTTAATGTTAATTGATTCCTTCCTTAACTTATGGTACACTTTCACCAGTTAACATGGATTCATTAACTACTACCTAACCATTTAATAATAGTATGTCACATGGAACAGATTTGTAAGAGTCTACATTCATGGTTTCAACTTAAAATAATTTAGGTGGTAAATGTTGTGAAAATGGAATCTACTATCTTAAAAATTGTTCATCATCATTATTATTTTCTTTAGCAGCAGGTTTGATTTATTCTGCTGTTTATAATATTACTATATCACCAGGAACTAATAATTCAGAGGAAATCTTTATCCATTATTTTTTGCGATATACAGTAATTAATTGTGGATTTAATTTCATTTATCTAAGAGTCAACATTGTTTTCATTCTTTGTATAACTACCGTACAGGATGTAAAAAAAAGCATAGATAATGTAAATAGAGCATAAATCCTACTCTCATCTAATAACCATAAGGAAACACTAAATATTTGAAAGAATGAAAATGGTTCCATTAATTACTCTTTTAACACTTCATTGAATTTCTTCATTGGTATAAGTAAGGAATTCTTTTCATATTCCTCTAATTTTTCATGATTTTCCAAATTATTTAAATTAAATTTAACATTTGGTTTCAATCTGATAAATGATTCTTTTGTCTCATCATAAAAATACTTGTTTTCCATAAAATAGATCCAATATTTATTTGTTTAATCAGAATGTATTGTCACTATATCACTGAAAGATTTCTGTTGTTTAACAAATTAGATTTTGCAAAATTTGTAATTTTAAACGTTATTCAAACTTAGTTTGTTCCCCCCTGAATAATATCTAATTTTAGACTTCATCTACACAGACCAAAACGAACTCATATATGTTAATGAATGAAAAAACACTAATCCTATAAAAGTTAATCTAGCATAAATATTTTCCATTGATTCATAATATACTTCATCATTATAAACTACATAATAAGATTAAATGTACTCTCAGCTCCTTAGAATGTGGCTTTATTTATTTTATCCATTAATGGATTTGTTTCAACTGGAGCTTCTTCATCTAATGTACTCCACCAAGAGTACAGAGCCAAATAACCAATGACAAAAGGCCAAATATCAAATCTCATTAGTGTTGGTCTCAAATTCAATAACTCAAAGGAAAAAGTCATTAATTAATATTTTATCAAATTAAATACTCAACTATTCTTTATAAATACTTAGAATCGACTTCGTCAAATCGTGACAAGTGTTCTGAATCAATATCTAAAACACTTTACACAACACCATTTTTTATCACTGGAATAACAATTTCACTTTGTGTTTCATTATCACAAGCTATGTAATTTTAACAAACCTTCACATCTTCTTGAATCTGAACTTTTCCTTCAGCCCAACATTATCCACATTATCCCTTTCCTTTTTCAATTCTTGGTGTTGCCAATATAGTACTTTAATATGGACCAACTTCAAGATAATTTTCTAATATAGAATTGATATTATACCATCAATAACTTCATAAAATCCTACAAAAAATAATCCACTAATATTATTTTTTAGAAGACTGACAATCGAAGTTTCAATGGCATTCCTACCCAAATTTTAATATTTTTTTAGGAAGTGTTCAAGTAGGTCAAGAACTTTTTCATATTCCTATACTTTATTTGGCTGATTCATTTCTAATTTATTTTAATTAAATTTATTTATAAACATATAAACTTTTTTATATTATAAATATTATCCTTATGATATTAAATTGTAAAATTTCATAAAATAACATGAATTTAATTCATAGTATAAACTTTAAATCCATATCTTATTTGGTGATTATAATAAATTGTATTATTAATGAATTCATATTCACCACCATGGAAAATTTTAAAACCCACCCCTTTAAATCTTCTTCAAAAATCAACACTAGATGAAGAAGAACCATAGATTCTTGAGGGAAGTAGTAAAGAAATTACTTTTAACGAACTTCTTATTGTACTTAATTATCATCCAAATACAGAAGTAACTTATATCAAGAGATAAGTATTAAAATGTAAAGGGCTCTCAAATATTGGATGGATGAATCCTTGTCTTGACTCAGAAAACAATCTGACTTCTTAAAATAAAAGGTCAATTTTAAAACAAACCTATAATAGAAGATTATAATGACTTTTTATATATTATAATATTTTATTTTACTCATATTTTCAATTTACTATAATAGCTTATAAAGTATCCATAAACACTGTGTTTGTAATTTTAATTCCACTTTATTTTACTTAGAATTTTGCAGCTTAATTTCTGGCATCAAACTTTTCATTCTAAGCCATACTTTTTAATTATTTCATTTTCAATTTCCTTATTTATAATAATTTTTGTTTTATCTAAAGTTTTTCACTTTATGAAGTTATTTAAAGTATTTCATCTTTCAATTTATATAACTTTAATTGTTGATTCTCCTTTAATAATACTGCTTCAATTCGTTTATTTTTAGTCTATTCTTAAAATAGATTAAAAGTACTTTCAAAATCTAAATTGTTGGATGATTTGATCAATAGAGTGCCATTCTTTCTAATATTTCTTCCTTAAGATTAATCCAAAAAGGAATTTTTACGTTATTATTATTGGTATAATACAACTTGTTCTTCTAACTGTTTTCTTATATCTTCATTCTCCATCAATTTATTTTCTAGATTATCAATTTTTTTGCTTGTTTATTCTGAAGCTTCATTAAAACCTTTAATCTTCTCCTAAAATCCTAAGTCTTATAACTCCTCTTTAATAAATTTATCATATAATTTTCTGATTATGATAAAAATTCATCTGATTTTTGATTTTATTTCTTACTAAAATAACTGGCTTTAAGAGATCAAATCTTAGTTTTGTATAATAATCTTATAGTAATGATTTATAAATTAAAATTCCTTTTAATGCTATTTAATTTCTTATTTCTATATTATTTAATGCTACTTTCATGTACTTTTTTAAGTATTTCTTTTATACAATAATAATTCTTAATTCTTAAGATTTGTTTCATCTAAAAATGTTTTAGATGTGTGTTTATTTTAATTATTATCCTCTTCTAATTTTTATTAATCAACTTTTCTATTTAATTAAGCAACTTTTACTTTTAATCTTTTTATTTATTAATCTTTATCTTATAAATCATTTTAATTATTATTAATCTAAGCATTAGCTGAATGTAATTTAAATTAAATATTTCCAAGAAATTAGTTACATCCAATAAAGTTTAGATTAATTCTTAATCCATTTTTTATCTTCATTAAGTGCTTTAATCTAATTTTTGTAAGTCATCAATAAGACCATCCTTCTTCATTTAATTTTTCTGTCATCTTCTCAATTATCTCTTATATTGCTTAACTTTCATCAACTCTTTAACACAATTCTTAATTCTCTTCAATCAATTTCATTACTTACTAATTTAGTATTATTAAGCTTCAATTATCTTTTATTGTTGATAATCATCATATTCTTATTGTAATTAAGCTAAAGCTTCTTATAATTATGTATTTTTAAGCTCAACCTCACTTGAATCTGAATTTCCTACTTACAGATTAGCTCCACAAGTGACCTATGTATCTTCTATTTCTAAATCTACTAATTCTTTTTAAAATTTTAATTAACTTACTTGTTCTTGTAATTATTGATTTGTGGCTTCAAAAAATTTTAGGTTTATGGTAATGATTTTTAAACAACAGCAGCCTAACTGGCACTTGTTTTTAATTTTAATTTTTTAGATTATAAGGAAAAGAATGTTTTACTTGTTTTACTAAGATTCGAAAGTTTAAGTGTCTGGATCCTAATAATCCTTAAGTTTTATAAATTAGAATGAATTTTCATAAAATTGAATTTAATTAAGATTCTTATCATTTATCGACTTTTGTTAATTTTCAATTAAGTCCAAAATATTTGTAAAAAGTAAATCAAAATCTTTTCTAAATTAAAAAAACTAACAACAGCCATCTGACATAAAAAACTAATCTAATATAAATAAAATTTCTTTTTTTTTCTAGTTCTAGAAAATAGAACTATTTTAAACTTAATTTTAAAACAATAAATTTTATTAAAATGAAATATTTGCTTTTATTTTGAATTAACCTTCAATAAAAGTGAATACTATCCATTTTTTTTTTGAAATTTTTCCCACTAATGACTTGGAAAATATATAGCTCATGGATATAATATGATAATTATCAATATTTTGGAAAAATATATTTAAATCTATGAATAATTATTTTCATTTTTCTCCATGTTGATTCATCGAACCAAATTCTAAACTTTCAGATTTAGGATGACCTTTCCTTAAATGTCCTCCAAGTTATTGATATTTATCATAGGTTTTTTTACAAACTTAACATTCATATTTTCTTGTTTTACCTTTCTAAATTCGATTATTTCCTCTCCTAGTTTTGTATTCTCCATCCTAACCTATAGAATAGACTATAAAGAATATTTACCTTTTTCAAAAAAATTTATAATAAGATTTTTCTCATCCATTTTTTCTTTTAAGTCTTCAAACTTCTTTTTTTTCCATCTTATTCTTTCAATGCAGCATCTAAATGCATACTCAATTTTTTAGATTATTTCATCACCTTATTCATTATCAATTTTTTCTTAAATCATCTTCTTTAATATTATTTAGATTAAAAAATAATACTTTATTTGGACATATTAAGATTGTAAAATCTTAAATATTGAATAAAAGATGATCTTGCAAATTTTCAACTTAAAAAGAACCTTAATCCATAATTTATATATTATTTTGAAAAAGTCTATGGAATATTTTAGGAATAAATCAAACTAATTGTAAAATGTAAATCTAATTATTAACTTCAATATTTTTAGAGTTCTCTATGCAAAATGTCACTTATTTTAATATTTAGATAATCTACAACAAGAATACATGAAATGATAATTTAACTGAAATTTATAAATTAAGAACCAACTGTCTTCTTTTAGATCATTCGTATTTGAAAAATCAATAACTTTTCTTTCCCATTACTCAAATGAGTGTATGAATTATGCATATTGATATAATAAAGATATTGAAATAAATAATATAATAAAATGTATAAACTAAACCTATTTATAAGTTTGAAAAACTTATAAATAGAAAAATAAGAGACCTATTGTAAAAATAATAACATTAATTCAATTGTTATCATAAATGTCTAATTATTGAAAAATAATTATAGATAACAAGTTGATAGAATTATACATCATGTTAAATATTTATATGTAACGATAATATTTTCAATAATGTTAGTATAAATTAGGCAAATTATTTTTTATATTTTATTCATTCATACTAGATGATAATTCTATTAGCTAAATTATTAAAATCGAAGTCTATCAATATTCTCTGCTTTAGTACTTTATTTTTAACTAATGTGTCCATTTATGTTGGCAATTTTAACTTTTCTACTTTGTAAATTTCTAAAGAATAAACGAATTAGATAAATCAATATTGTTCAATAATATATGCTGTTTTAAAAAAAATATTAATTATAAATTTATATTAATTATCAATCATACTTTTTTTAAGCTAAGTAATAAGATTCGAATGATTCTCCAGGATTTAAATGAATCGATTTATTTTCTTCAGGAAGCTCCATACTTGCTTATTAAAAAGTATCAAAAGATTATCCTAATTTTGAAGCATTAGAAAAAGTTCCTTATAATATTAATTTTTAATTACCTGGAGATTTATTAGGACTTAATCTTGTTCTTATCGTTCCAACTTTTTTATTTTTTTTATCAGATTTATTCTTTTATTATTCTAAATTAGAACATTATTCTTATAATTCATTCTTCTGATATTTCAATTCATCCTTTTCAATATTCCATTTAGCTTTTTCTTTTTCATGTTCAAATACCATATTTGATCTTCTAATCTCTGCTTCTTTTAACTTTTCTTCTGCTTCACTTAACTTAGCTCTCCAAATTTACCTTTCTTCAGTCTAATTTATGTATAATTCTTCAATTTTGGTTTCATATTATAATTTTATTTATTCAATTTGATTTTCATAAAGTGAAGAGATATCACTAAGATCACCTTTATAATAATTTTAATTTGACATATTATTTAATGTTAATTCTTTTTGTAATTATTCAATTTTCATTGTATATTCATTAATTATTGCTTAATGATGTTCTGTAATATCTAAAACTTATAATTAATATTTTTTTTCTAAAGTTACCAACATTTCAGAAATAGAATTACTTTCTTCTTCTAAATCTTATTCTCTAGCTTTTTAGAGATGATTAATAGTAAACTCAAACTTTTTCATGGCCTCTTGTAAATCTTATTTTGATTGATCCTTTTATTATTATAAGAATTTGAATTTACCTTCCCATAATAATGTATCTCGTTCATATAATGATTTCATTTCTTATAATTCACTTTATAAACTTTCAATTTATTATTTTAATTATGAAATTAATTAAGTATTTGATTGTGCAATATTTTATTAAACTGGAAGATTCATATTTTTCTTTTATTAATTATTTAATACCTCTTGTAATTACAATTTTAATTATTCAATTTATTATTATAAATCAACAACAATTTTATTATTATTGATTTCTTAATCTTTATATTATTATCTTAATTTATCATATTTCTATTGTTATTCTTTAAGATCAGTTTCTAATGTTAATTATGCAACATTGCTTTCAATTTTAATTAATTATGTAAAATTTTTAGATTCATAATTTTATAGTTAAATTTAAAGTTATTCTAATTTATGTGAATTGAATTCATTTTCTTATGTAATTAATGCCAATTATTTTTCATATTCAACTTTCATTTTAATATTTTCATCTTATGCATCATCTAATTATTTTCTTAATTCAATAATTGATTCTGTAAGTTTCTATTTTTCTAAAGAATTATTTTATTTTATTTTTTCTATTTAATCTTATTTAATATGATTTAATGATTCATACTATCCTTATTATTTTAATATATTAAGTTCTTCCTCTTTAATTTAATTGAGTTAATGTAGATCTTATATTTATTTTTATAAATTCAATTAATCATCTTAAAATTATTGAATAGATATTTTTAAAGAATTATTTACTTATTCTAATGTTAAAATCTATTTTTATTTTATATCATTTTCATTTTACCAATGTTATGATAATTGTTATAATTACAAATCATTTTATTTTAATTTTTTCTAAAGTTTTGAAATTTCTTAATCTTAATTATTGTCAAATTAATTTTCTAATTCTTCAACCATTTAATTATACTTTTATTCCATAATCTTTCTATCTTCCATAAATTTTTATTCAACTTTTTATCTCTCCAAATCATACATCTATCTTAATTATGCAATTTATTCTTCATTTTTATTTTATAATAATTTATACTCATTTAAATTCTATTTTTTTAATTCCTCAATTTCTATTTAATGATTCTTTGTTTTTAATATCAATTTTTCTTCTAATTCTTTTTAAATTCTTGTTTTTTATTATTCTAATAATAAGAATTCTTTATTTAATCTTTATATGTTATCTTCATAATTAATAATCTATGTTTAGGCTTATTACAATTCTCTTGTAAAATCATTTTATTAATATAATAATTAACTCTCAGTTTTATTTAATTCTGAATTTAAATATTCAATCTATTATTACATTTTTCTTCTTTAAATTTCAAATTCTTATTCTAATTATTTCATTTCATTTAAATGCATATCTTTCATTTCCATATATTATTTAGAGAATATTTAACTTTTATTCACATCATTTTAACTTTCAAATAAACTTAATGTTTATTCATGATTCTTTTTTTCAGCCTTTAATTATTCAGATAAATCTTTAAGTTAAATCTCTAAAAATTGTTTATCTTAAGCAATTAATGCTTATTCTCTTTCTAAATTTGATTTTAATTATATTAATTATGATGTCTTTTCTTTTAATTGTGTTTCCTAATATTCAATTATCTCTTTCAATTTAACTATTTATTTTTCATTTTCTTCATTATTAGAATTATCAATTTATGGCAATTAAATTACTGAATTCTTCAAAATTTATATTTATTATTAATATTCATATATTTTACTTTCTTTATTTTATAATTTAAATTAAACTTAATTATTTTATTATTCTAAATTATTTAATTGATCTTAAAGTTACTAAGTTTTATCAGTTTATACTAAAAGTCTTTCTTACAATTAAGTAATCATTTATTCATATTTTTATTAAACATCTCTAATTTAAATTGTATATTCTGATTTTGTTGAAAGAAATGATGAATCCATTTATGTTTCTTTTCTTTAACTTTATTCTAATTGTTTTGTTAAATGTTGAATTTTTTATTCATTAAGTGCTTTCATCTTATTGAATTCAGATTCTTTTAGATAAAGATTTCTTTCAAATTATTTAAATTGTTATTAATGTAGTTCTTTTTATTTTATTAATTCAGCTTATAAAATTTCTAATTATTTATCTGAAGAAGATAATTATTCTTCTAACAATTTTATTTATGATTATTAAGAATAAATTTTATTTTCTTATTCTTTAACTTTACATATAAGTTCATTAATAGTTTTATCTTTTTCTGTAGTAATATTTTCATTCTTTATTTAAAGTGGTTATTATTATTATTATTATTATTATTATTAATTTTATTATTTAATAAACATATTTGTACCTTCTGTCATCATTTTATTATAAAATTCTTAATAAACTTATTATTTTAATACAGTTTTTGGTCCATGTTCTAATAAAAATTAATAAAATAATTTGATGTCTCTTTCAAATTCTAAAATACTTCTATATTCAGATAATCTTTTTTATAATGTTTAAAATTCTTAATTTATAAATTAATTGCATAAATTAGTTGCTTCTTATTCATTTCTTTTACAAATCTCTTTGAATGTATCTTTACACATTTAATGTAAATCATCATTTAAATCTTTATCATTAATTTTAGATTTCAAATATTCTAAAGCCTTAAGTTCTGAATCTTTATGATGATTTTTTAATTCTTCAAATGAACATGTTGGTAATTTAAGTTACATAATAGATTATTCATATTTTTTAAATGCATCATTCAAAAGAACTGTAGATTACTTGTCTACAATACTTTCAGTAATTTATCTTAAATCAACAGCTTAATTTGTATTAAATTTAGTAACAACCATTTAAATCATATCCACCAAAAGGGGACCATTCAAATATATATTCTAATAGATTTTCTTTGGTTTTGCATAATTAAGCACTTTTCTCCTTAATAAAGCCATAGAATCTATAAATTCAATACTTTCACTAGATGATGGAATAGTAACAAAATCTGAGAAAAGTTTAAGTAAATGTTTCTTCAATCTATTTTATGATTTAAATTATCTTTCAAGTAGTTCTTTAGACTAGAGTGCATCTTTATTATGTATATCTCTTAAAACCCAAATAAAAGGAGGTAAAAAGTCCTCATAGTCTTCAAGATTAATCATTAATTCAAAATCTTCAACTGAATAACCTTAAAGAATATTTATTATTATAAAATACCACAATAGATTACTACACTTGATAATAGAGAAGCAAGTAAAATAATTTACATATCTTTTCTTTAATCACCACAACCCAAACCTTCTGTATCTATAATTAATTAACCATCATATGTATAATAGAATCCCTTGATTTTATTATGATTGATACTTTAGTGCTAGATTGAAAACCTTAACCCTGCATAAACAACTTATTCAATAACCAACTTTTGCCAGATTTTTAAGATCCAATAATGCAAATAATATTTAAATTGTTTTGTATTTATTACAATTTCTAACAGGCTAATTTGTTAAGAATGATCTCTAAGGTGTTATTGAATCCATCAAAACTTAATAGTTAATAAATATCCATAAAGTTTAGATAATATTTGAATTTAAATTAATTATCAGACAAACCAATTTTTGAATAATATTAGTTGAACATATTCATGAATATTATTATTCATAATCATTTTGCTTATTGCCGCTCTGGTTCATACTTTAGTTATGACCATTCAAATAATCTATATGATAAAAATATATATTTACTCCATAACTATTCTGAATTTGAACTATTTTATAACAAATTGATTAATTCTTATTTATGTGATTTCTAAAATGATATAAACAATCATACTTTAATATTTTCGAGAATTGTACGATATTTTTTCTTATATACAAATCCCATATTTGAATCACATTATCTAATTCTACTTTCAATATCTTCACTTATCCTTTTTGGTATACTTTAATCAGTATATTCTGAAATAGTTTCAGAGATTTTCTATACTACTTTATTTTTTTATAAAGGATTGGGAATATCTTAACTTTATTTTCTAGGTTTCTTAGGTGATTGTGTTTATATATTTTTTTTTCTAATTATTGGTTTAGAAATAGGAATCTATCTCTAATATTTCCCTTTTTTCACACATTCTTCACTTGATTCATCTTCATCACTTTCTCCATCACTTTCATCTGAATCTGATTATTCACTATCATCTTCAGCTTTAAATTTATATTTAAAATATATATACAATCCAAAATAAAATTTGGTTGATTTGATAATTTCTCTAATAACTTTTAAGTTATCTTCTTTTGACCTGATACTTAATGTAATTACTGGATGATTTCGGTTGGATCAAAATACTGTAAAAAACTAGATTATTCATTTTTGTATTACCGTTCTTAATACAATTGATTTTAATTTCTCAAGGAATTGAGTAAAATCTATTTAAGCTTAAGAAAGATTCTTTTTATCAGTTAATCGTGCTTATATCTACATTAAAAATTTTCCATTTGGTCCTTATAGAATTTCAATTATATCTGGCCTATCTAAATCAACAATTTGAATCAACTATTATTTTTAATTATTTATCATACACTTGATATTTTAGTTTCTATTTAAAGTGGATTCAATTTACTCTCTGTTATCAATTTCAATAATTCTTATATCTCTTAACTAAAATTATCAGGTTTAGTGATATCTTCAGAATCCATCTTTGATTTTCTAGATGATCCATAAATACCACTATGTTCCTCACTAGAAGAAGATCTTGTACTTTTACGCTTACTGACTGTTTTAGTGAAATTCTTTTTTTTTGAAATTTTTTTTGATTCAACTAATATCAAAATTTAAATACTATCATATGTTGATTATCCTTTCAAAATTTAATCTGCTGCTGTAACCGAATCCTTGTGTTGCTTAGTTTTGATTTTTTAAACTATTTCTTCATACTTCTCCTAATATTTGGCAAGACTTTAATAAGGTAATGTGGAACTTCTATTCAAAGGTTAATCATACTGTGAGTTATCTCCAATAAAATTAACAAGATATTTTGTAGGTTCTGATGACTATTTATCTTTTATCACTTCAGCTATAATTCCAGGCCACCAGGGGTCTAAAATAATGTATACCACTTACATCCTCTTATTTTTGCCCAGACTATCTCATCCTTACTGTAACTCTCATGTATTTCATTATCCATTTGTGGTATTATAATTTAAAAATATTTATATATATATATATTATAATATATCATAAATTAATCAAACTTAATAATGCATTCTAACAACTTTGGCTTATTCCTAATTATATTGATATTAAATACCTTGAACTAATTAATCAAATCAATATTTGGATGAGAGGCAAATTATGATATTTGTAATTTGAGTTTAAAAGATTCTATAATCTTGGATCAATATTTTGTTAAAGGGAAAATTAAGGTAATACACTACTAATTAAAACTAAATCTAAAGATTTCAATTGTTATTGAGATTATCCACCCCTATATATTTTTTTAGTTCTTCTTTTTATAATAATAATCATATATATCTAAAGTTGCCAACATATCAGTCCCATTAACTTCCTAAATTGTTGATTGTGCTATTAATTTATCTTCCAAATATCCAGATATCATCAATAATATATTTATTTTTTTGATTATAAAAAATAATTAAACATTCAAAATAAATTTTGTGTAAATTAGCCACTCTATTATCCTTGTTAAACTTGTTCATTTTTCTCTGTTTACATTCCAATTCCACTTTATTGTTATGTATTCAAGGATTCAAACATAAATTATTGATTAGTTGGAGGAATATAAAGTTATGTTAATTATCCTTCCCAATCAATAGGAAATTTTGTTATTCGAGGATTACTTCCTAATATTTATCGATAAACTCTATCTATTAGTATTACTTATGGCTCATTTTCAATCAATTCTGCCTCTGTGTAATTATTATACACATAATAGCCAACTCTAAAAAATTCTTTTTATCTATATTTGGCTGACAATATTAAGGCGGATACACTAAATAAATCTTCCTTTGATGGAATCAATTAGTAATTGGGAGGTTGACTAGTTATTGTGAATTACATGAATCCTTTTTATAATGGACCCATACTAAAATTATCTAAAACTTAATCAAATTTGTCACTCAAAGGAGATCCAATATAAATTAAACTAATTTATTTTAATTTTTTTACTTCCATTCTATTTCATCTGTTAAATCATTTCTAACTTCAAAGGTTATTTGTAAGGAAATAGGAGTTTGAAACAAAGCTAATTCATTTTCAAAGATTATGTTTGTCACTTCAACAAGCGCCATTTCAAAATAATATTAATAATAAAAAAAGGAATTTAATAATTGTTCATTCTAATATTTCATTAAATTGTCTAATCACTTTTTAACTTTATTGCAATTATTTCAATTATTTAATATAATCATCTTTTAAATTTTTTAATAAATTTAAAGATTCTTATTCAAAATTATCATTTAAATCTCTTATTGGCATTTAATTAACTCTTTCTTCATGTTATATTTTTATAGAATGCTATTTACAAGTTTAATAAATTTGTATTTATTACCTATTATAAAGTTTCATTAAGTTATTAAGTTTTTTTCCTCATCATTTCTACTTCATCTTTTAAAGCCAATTCCCATGAAGCATTTTTTTACAAACATTTCTATCTTTTTGATCTAAATTCTATTTTTTATTAACAAATTAATAATTTGTCAATTATCTCTTTATTTTTGTTTTAAATTTGATTTAAACTATTCTAAAAGTGTGTTTCTAACTATATCAATAAATAATATATATTACTATCTCAGGACAATCTCTTAAGTCAATCTCTAAAATTTTTTCACTTCTTTCTTATTATTTTTAACCAATTCCTTAAAGAAGTAATTTAAGAATGGATTGAGCATTATTTTGATAAGAATTGTTTAAAGACATCAAAACTTTTGTATTATCTGTCAGGGATTACTGTTGTAAGATAGTAAAATTATGAAGATCTTTTATTGACTCGACAAAGGAATAATATTCATTATCAGAGAAGTACATAATATTATAAAATGTAGTTAATTATAATCATAATTTAGTCAAGATTAATACAGCAAATGTGCCACATTATTCTTTTATATATTATTTTCTTCATAATTTTGATTTTTCTATAATAAACTAATATAGGTTTCTAATTTTCTTTTCTTATCACTTTCAAGTTTCTCAACATACTTTTAAGCTATTTTAATCCTTAAAGCTTGATTTTATTGTCCATTTGTAATTGCAATTCTTTCTTTATTAAGAAATGCTTCTAAATCCATATCTTAATTCTTTACATCCTTTTCTAATGAAGTTATTAAATCAAGCAATTAAATAATTGTTTCAGAATTTAATTTCAATTTCTAAGCATTATTTTTTTGAAATAATTCAAAATGAAGTCGTTTTTTACTTGGAAAAGTTTATTTGATAATATTACAATTAGATTGTAAAGGTTATTAGATATATCTTTTAGGATTGATTTCAGTTTAATTAGGTTTAATATTTTCAAATTATGATCTTGTTCTTCTAAATTTCTCTTATTATTTAGGAAGATAATACTTTCCTAATTTTGTATTTTCTTCACCTTCAGTAGATTATTGACTTGAAGTTGCAGGAGGTAATTCTTATTTTTATTCTATATTAATTTCATTAGATTGTTTATTTAATGGATTCTTTCCAGAACAGCTTCTTTCTCTAAGAGTTGGAAGTGTTGATTTATCATTAGATTGAATTTATCTATGTGTTGAAAATTGAGGACTAAATATTTCATTAATTCCTGGATCTATAGGGATTTTCATTTATGGTTTAATTAAAGGATGAAGAAAGACTTCATTCCAACTTAATCTTTAGACTTCATCCTTATGTAAACATCCTTAAATAAAGCTAAGAGATTCTTTTGAGATTTTGTTATTCTTTGGGAAAGTTAATTTACAATTATTAATTCTGTATATCAATTCCATATAGTTAGTTGCCATCCATGGTAGAGTACCAAATAACATTTCATAAAATATTAGTCCTAATGACCATACATCACATTTTGAAGTATATTATTATTTTGTTAGGATTTAGGGAGCCATATAAAGAGGAGTACCTACAAGAGATTCCATTATGCATTCTAATGGTAATGGTCTTGAAAATCCAAAATCTGCAATTTTACATTAACCATCATGAATAAGGATATTGGCTGGTTTAAGATCTCTATGTATAAAATTATTGTTGACTATTTCTTTTAATCCATTTGCTATTTGTTTTATCATTTTGATTGCTTATTCTTCTTCTAAAACTTTTTTTTATGATAAATATTATTTTAAATCTGGTCCATTACAATATTCTTAGACCAAATAAGTATTATTTGAGGTTGAATATACTTCATATAATTGAACAATATTAGGATGTTTTAACTTTTTCATGATTTCAATTTCTTAATGTAATGATTAATATAATTAAGCATAATTTATAGATTTGGAATGATCAATAACCTTAAGAGCTACAGGTAATTCTATTTGTTATTAGAATATATTATACAAGTATTCATCTCTCTTCCAAAGTAGACAGTGGCAAAGGAACCTTTACCAAGAATGGCCTTTAGATTAAAAGCATAATTTGATATCTTCTTTTCTGGTTTAATGTTTATAATTTCTTGTCTATTCATTTATAGTGATTTAGTTATTTAAATCTATGTATATAGAGTATTGGAATTTCAATTTGTAATATGACTTAAAATTAAGTTCAAAATTTAATATAATTAATTTAATAACAAGTGTTGATATTATTATTTGATTACATAATATATAACAACATTCAATAATTAATTCTATATTCATATATAATAATTATGGATATATAATCCTTCATTCAAACATCGAATTTGGATACTAAGTCTCTAATAACTGGTGGAATATTCATTGTATTTACAACCATTTTAGGAGGAATAGCCTTGTTATAAACATATTGTGAACATAGACATTACAATCTATTGAGAGAGGCTTCAGTTGCTATTTTAGTAGGATTATTAATTGGTGTCATTACTGAATTTTAAGTATTATAGAATGTTAACTATAATAATTCATCTGAAATATTCTTTTTTATTTTGCTTCCTATAATAGTTTTTAAAGAAGGTTACAATTTAAATAAGCAACACTTTATGAAGAACTTCTTTTATGTAGTAATGTATGGTATTTTTGGAACTATTTTCAATTTTATTGTTTTGGCTGCATTAAATTATTCAATTACTAACACAAGTATATTTTAAATTAATATTAGATATATTTTGGATACCTCCATAAATTGATAGTTAAAACAATAATCCTGGTAATTCTAGGTATGCATCAATATTTTACTCAGCTTGTATATCTTCAAAAGATAGTGCTGTTTCTTTAAGTGTTTTGGAATTTGAACATGCACCTAAATTACACAGCATTATTTTTGGTGAATAAATCTTAAATGATGTTGTAGTCTTTGCATTAAGTAAAACTGTAGAAAAGTTTCATAATTAAAGTGAAGTAAAAAATGATTGGGAATGGTATAGTGTATTCATTTTTATTGGTTGGATTCTTGCAAATTTAATTGTGGGTTTAATTGTAGGTGTATTAGTAGGTAGTATAGCAACATGGATAACAAAGGAATCTCGATTTCTATCTGAGCATTCATCTGTTGTTACTGCATTTACTATTTATATAGCATATTTCTCATTTTGTGTATGTGAATCATTAGGATTTTGTGGAGTATTAGCAGTTTTACTGTGTGGTATTATGTTATCACATTATTAAACTTACAATTTACCCAAAATATCTTCTACTTCTTCTAAAATTACAATCAAAGCTCTTGCTTATATAAGTGAAACAATTATCTATTTTTATATTGGATATATGGTTACAGAAAATGCCATTGTAAAAGAATAAAATGATACTAATTTAAAATCTCAAGCCTATACATTTCTTCTTGTTTAATATTTTTTTTTCTCTCCATTAGCTAAATTATCATCTATGCTATTAGCACATGGTTTAGCAATCATGTAAAATTTTAACTTATTATTTATATAGTTTACGTATGAAAACTAAAGGACCATGGAGAATCAATAAATATGAATTTTTTCTTCTTTTTTATTCTGGTCTTATTAAAGGAGTGGTTGCTTATGCTTTGATTTGTGAATAAATAGTTGGAGGTAAAGATTATTATAAAATTATCTAAACTACTTCTTTGTATATGGTTGTTTTTACTACTTTAATTAATGGAGGAACATTGAAATATATATGTGAATGGGCTTATAAATAAATGGAAAAAGATATTTCAGGTTCTTAATCAAGAACTTAATCAGCTCAATCATAAGCAATTAGATAAACATTTATATAAGAAGATTTAGCTGCTTATAAATAACTTAAACATAAAAGTGAGAAGTTCTTCAAAAATTTTGATGAAACATATATTAAACCATTTCTAATTTATAAATATAAAGAAAGAAAGGTTGATATTATTCTAGCAAAGAAAATGGAAAAAAACAAAACTAGATATGAAAAAGAATAGGATTTTAAGATGTATGATGATAGTATCAGATAATAGAGAGAAGAATTGGAATTGCATAAAAAAAAAAGAAATGAATTAACATAAATAGATTATAATGATTCTGATTCAGATGAAGATGAAGAATAAAATAATCATCAAAATGGTAATTAATATACATCATACTCAGGTGAATTATCTGAAATCAAAAAAAGTAAATAATAAAATGGAGATTATAAACATGATTGAACCAATCATTTTTTTAACAAACTTATATTTTTTAAATTATATTTAAATTATATAATTAATTTTATTAATAATCAATAAATTTTGAATTTGCATTATTCTAATTATGAAGATTCTCCTTTAAATAGTGATATCACTTTACAATATCCAACATCATCTGTCTTCTACTTGAAATACTCTAAAATTGTCTTTAAAGGTCTCTGATGAGTTACTAATATGACACATTAATCATCTTCAATTTTTTCTAACAAATTCTAGACATAACTCATAATTCTATTGGTCACATTTTCTAAAGTTTCAGGATATATGTCATCTTATCTAGATTATTAATCATTTAAGGTAATCCCAGAGAAGTAAGTGAGTGTGGGATTGCTATTAATTGTTAAATCAGGCAATGGATTCCTGGAAAAGAAACAAGGATATAAAGTTTCACAAATTTCTGTAATTAATGAAATTTCTTCCTTCTTTATTTAATGAGCAATATTTTTAGCAGTCATTATGCATCTTAAGAAAGGAGATGATTGAATTTCAATCTATCTATAGGGTTCAATTTCCTAAAGAATCAATTTTCCAGCCTACTGAGCTTATTCACACCCTTTTGGAGTTAGATGAGGATCATGTGGATTTACAATATTTTTCATTTCGATTTCACAATTGTCAGCTCTTTCTCCATGTCTTACTAAAATTATCATTTTTATGGTTAATTAATATTTAAAAAATAATTCAAAAATTTATATATATATTTACTGACATAATTCTATTATAATATATAATTTTATTTGTAACATATAATTCTATTGTAACATATAATTCTATTGTAACATATAATTCTATTGTAATCATAATTCGATATTATTTTAGTTTAAATACTTTAGTGATAAGTTAAAGGAACATGCTGACAAAACTAAATTGATGGGTAAAATAATTATGGTACAATAATATGAAATGTAATTCATAACATTACTACCAAACAATTACTATTCAAAAATCAATGTACTGTTCCACCAAACTCTCTAGTATCTATTATATAAATTATACATAATTAACAATCAACCAAAAAACATCAAAAATACATTAGATTAATAAAATCAAGGAGATTTAAGGTAATATCTTTGATGTTTTAATATGATCAGAATCATAAGTCATGATTAACATTCCAACTAACAAGGATATTGTTAATTATTAAAAACATGGTCTAGATAGAGAAATTAAGATAAGAGTAAAAATAATAACTAATCCATTAATTATTAAAACAATCTATTACCATTCTTCAAGACTGTCTTAAAGTTCATCTATAATATATTTATTAAATTTATACTTTTAAATGATTTTGCAATTTAATACATTTTATTCTAAAATTTAAGTGTCCATTCTAAATTATCAAATGAATTAGGTTCTTAATTAACTTCTTAAGGATGTTATTTTTATTTTATTATTCTTGATTCATTGAATGCTAAGATACAACTATCAATAAAATGATTGCTTTTTTCTATTATTTCTTATTATTGTTTAATTTCTTTTTTATATTCATCTATAAAAATAATTTAATCTTCTAACAAAGCAACTTTACTATGAATCCACCATATAGTTAAATTAAGTTTTAATTTAGTATTAATTAATACTCCATGCTCATCTTCTAATAGATAATCTTGATTAGAACTCTATTAATCTTTAAATTAATAAAGTGGTAACTTCAATTATCCAATTAATGCTTAAGATGAATTCAATAATTCAACAATAATTTAACCATAAGGTGATGTTACATGACTATTCTACATAGTTTTGGAATGTTTTACATTTTAAATTCTTCTTACCATATTGGATGGTTAGTTATCTAAGATAGTTGAGTATTTTTTTCTTCATTGAAAAGTGTTATAGTGACATAATATTGAGATTATTTCAAACAATCTGCAGAACAAACTGTAATAAATAAAGTACTATCAATGTCAATATTGTATTCATTTAAATTTTCTTCCTTTTTTGCTAATTTTAATTCTTCTAATATTTATTTATATTCATTTTTATATGTTTAGATCTGATTAATTGCATCTTATTTGATTTAAAGTTAAGAATTATATTCTTAAAGAATGATATTAACAAACTCATCAATAGTGATTAAATTGATTTAAGTTGAATAATCTTGATCTATGGATTGAATTAATTCAAAAGGGAACTAACCATTTATCTATAAAACATTAGGATATTTTTTGTACCAAAGTATTCAAACAATCTAAAAATTCTTGTCTAGAGTATTGTTAATCTTGTTGGAAATCTGCCTATTAGAATATTAAATGCATAACATCACTTTATATTTAATTCATAATATATAAATATATAGCAAATATTTTAAAGCAATCATATTTTTGTATGACTGAGATTGGGAATTATTTAATAGGTAGTGGAACCATAAATATTTTGTAATAGGAAAGACTATTGGACAAGGCACATTTAGCAAGGTTTGTTAAGCAATCAATCAAGTGATAGGTCATGAAACAGCAGTAAAAGTTCTTGAGAAGAAATAAATCAATTAAGAAGGAGATATAGAACGAGTAAAAAGAGAGATTTAAATATTGAAGCTACTTCATCATCCATAAATCGTGAAACTATATGAGGTTAAATATAGTATAGAGTAATCAATAGGTAATCGAAACAGAAAACCATATCTATTTATTTATGGAGTATGCAAATGGTGGAGAACTATTTGATTATATTGACAGAGTTAAATAGTAAAATAATTCATTTTTAATGAGTAGAGTAACAGAATATGAGGCATGCAAATTCTTTCATTAGATTATTTCAGGATTAGAGTATATGCATAATTAAAAAGTCATTCATAGAGATTTGAAACCTGAGAATTTATTATTAACTAGTGATAGAGATATTCTAATTGCTGATTTTGGATTAAGCAACCTTTAAAAAGATATGCTTAAGACTTGTTGTGGTAGTCCTTGTTATGCAGCACCAGAAATGATACAAGGAGAACCTTACAATGGATAAATGACAGACATATGGAGTTGTGGGATTATATTATTTGCAATGATATGTGGTTATTTACCTTTTGATGATTTAAATACATAGAATTTGTATTAAAAGATCATTAATGCCGAATTTACATTCCCAAAACATATTTCAATTGATGCCAAAGATCTAATAAAGAAAATTTTAGTAGTTAATCCATAAAAAAGATATTCAATTTAGTAAATAAAAAGACATAAATGGTGGCAATTATGGAAAAGAGATGTCTAATATTTCGATATCATTAGAATCCGTCTATGTCAGCATTTAAGGCCAAATGTATTACAATTCCTTGTTAATTTCTACCAAACAGTCCTTATAATGAAGATATACCAAATTTACCTAAAAATTCACCAAGGAATGCTAAATCACCAGTTGCTAAATCTCCACCTACAAAGTCTCCAAATACAAAATCAACTACATCTAAATTATCAAATTATACTTATAAATAGGTTTATGATAAAATTAAAATGAGATAAACACCATCTAAATCTTTACATGAATCTTCGAATAATTGTAATCCTAAAAATAATCATAATACAAACACTAATAAATAAAATATCTTTATTAAATAATAAAATAATTATGCTTTTTATAATAAACATAAAAAATAACCTTCAGCATAATACTCAACTTTAATGAAATAAACATAATTCTAAAAAGTTGTCTAAAGTATGCATGATAATAGAAATTAAAAAATATTTTCAAATACAACATCTTTTAAAACTCCTACTAAACATTTTTATTCTCATAGTAAAAATATAAGTGATTTGGAAAAAACTAAATTTTCAACAACATTAAAAATTGATGAATCCTAATCTACTTAAAATATTCTTTAAAGATTTACTTCTGGTTTAAATAGTTTAAGAAACTCTCCAAGATAACCTATAAATATTCGAGGGATTGAATAACACACTGGTCCCTATCATTTATCTTTCATAACTAAAAAACATCCTTAATTATTTATTGATATAATCCACAATTATTTGAAATTACATTTTCCAATAATTATTTATGAGAATTACTCTATCACTTTAAAACTAAAAAATGATTCATTACTTGAATTAAGATTGAAAAGAATCGAATAGATAGATGTATATTATTTGGATATTATCTAATAAAATAATAACTTCGTTGAACTCTATTAATTTGTAAAGGATCTAAAATCACATATTAAATTTTGAAAAATTAGAATTACGACAAATTTATAATGAAATCATTTAAAGATATTTTATTTATATACTAAACCAAGAATATTCTTAAATTATAGCAATACTATCTATCATTTTTTTTTTTAATATTATAATGATAATATGATATTACTATTAATTTCATATGAATTTGTTTAAGAAAAATCAATATAAAATTGCTCTCAAATTATTTAATTTAAACATAATGTTTAAAATTACATAGACTCAAATTTTGGAATGGGTTAAAGATGGCAATGCTGAAACCCTAAGTACATTTTTTGAATAAAGTCTACAATAAAATTAGACTGGATTGAATTCGTTTTTCAAAATGGTTGACAAAGAAAAACGAAATGTAGTCCATTGGGCTGCATATTTAGGCTAATTGGCATTACTAGAAAAATGGCTATCATAGTATTCATAAATTATAGACCTAAATCAGGTTGATCTACACAACTACACTGCTGTAGAACTTGCTAGCATTAAAGGGTAAGTGATATTATTTCTATTTAAAGTTTTATGAAGGAATATAATTCTTAACTTTAGTTTAGGTTGATTAAGTTACTACTTGATCACAATGCCAAATTGCCTACAGAAAACAAATATAAAAGAGCCAATCCATTACATTGGGCATATTATTATGGCAATTTAGAGTTAATTGAATTTCTCTTATCTAATTACTCAGATCTACAATATTTATTAGATTAATTTGATATGTATCCAATAGATTATTTATTTCTTGAAAACCGACCTTAAGAATATCAGTAATAGTTTATTGAAAATATAATATAGGAAAAAATACAAAGCGATATTTGTAAAGACTGTATAAGAATATGCTTTAAAAAATGATGGTCATCAATTTAAGACTATTAGGAATTTAAATACTTAGATGACTATAGCAATAGGATCCATATCTTACAAATCAAATAATTTGGAAAATCCAATTATGATTAATGATCAAAATTAACCTTAATTGAAAGAACCAGCAAATGAATTAGAAAGCATAGATTAAGAAAATAAATTGAATTAGCATTTATAATGTGGATAAACAGCTATGACTTTAATGTCAAAAATGTAATAAACTAGTACAATATAATAAAAGAGAGATTCTATCAGTTCTAGAATTAGTTAATAATTTAAATCTATCTAAGAGAGAATGAAAAAATTACCTAATAAGAATTTGTAAAATGAACTCCCATTTGAAGATTCTTAATAAGATTTGAATGAGCCAGAAGCAGAGAAGATTCCCTCAGTAAAAATTATTTAACCTACTAATACAATTTTCTCAGATCCTCATTTTAACATTACAGAAAACATTGAAAATAATATTGGTTCTAAAAATGATTTAGAAAGTGATCGAAATTAATTTAGAGTTTTGTTATAATAAGATGATGAATTTGGTAGACTATTTAAATCTAATAATATACCTTCTAGATCTGAATAATCTAAATATATGGTTTCACAATATTAATAATCATAAGCTCCTTCTTAATTTGGTAGACAATTATCTCAAGAAATCTAAATATCATAAGATGATTATAGACCATCAATGAATGATTTGAGACCTTCAATGAAAGATATTCAAAGAGTAAAATCTATGAGACCTTCATTAAAAAGACCTGGATAAAAGTTGATAACAAGGAAAAGTACTACTTTTAATGAGACTTATACTATATATCATTATGCAAATAGTTAAACAAAGAAATAATTATTTGAATGTAGATTATAGTTTTGGTCAGCTAGAATTGAATCAACAGAATTCTTTAGTTATTTCTTGAAGCAGAAATGCAATCCATTTTTAATTTAATATTAAGGATTTAATTGTCTTCATATTGCAGCTAATAAAGGTAAATATGAGATTTTAAAATAAATTTTGGAAAGTGAATATGAGTATTAGGAATTAAAAGATCTTTTAAGATTACATAGATCTATTACAGTAGGATAATTCTCAAAAACATATATTAAAAAAGATATATTTAATAAGGTAAATATGTATATAAGTTTTATATAGGTTGAAGCATTTAATATGATGACAGATTAGAATCCATCTAATGCATTACATTTAGCAATAGAGATTAATAATTTTAAATGTATGAAAATTTTAGTAGAACATGGAGTTTCAATGGATGTATTAAATCATAGATGTTTGATGCCTATAGAATTGACATTCGATGAAAAAATGGTTAAATATTATGAAAATCATTATCTTAAAGGTAAGGAATAGAGTTTTAATTTAATGGGATATATGTATGTAATTTAAACTTCTGGGAATTAAGATATATGTTAAGATATTGTATTATTGTAATTATAGAATATCAGATAATCATTTTAGTAAAGAAATATGGAATTTGAATTTCTTATTATAAATACTCCAAATTATAAATATATGTATAATGGAAAAGAACATTGTGTTAAACATCATTATTATGTAATAAAATTATCAGCAGATACAATTTACAAATTAGCAGATATCTATTAGATTGAATGCTATCATTTTACAAAGAAGGTAATATTCTATTTAACCGATATAGCATTTAACAAAATTTAAATATGGAGATTATGGCCATTTTGAATTTCCAAAACCATTATAAATTCAATAACTTATAATTAATGTCTTAAATGAAGAATTTGATTTAGATAAGTTTGTTTTAGAAGGATTGGTGATTTCACATTTTCCATTAGAAGATAGTTCAAAATCATAAAAAGTCAGTGAAATGTGGAAGGATCTTCAATACAATTGTATTAGAGATACTATAAGAATAAAAACTCATTAAATAGCATTGAGACCATTGAATTCAATAGCTTCTTATTATGGACCTGTTATTGCTTGGTATATAGCTTTTAATGTTTAAATAGTCGGATGGTTAATTATACCAGCTTTGGTTGGATCAGCAATCTAATTATATTAATTGATTGCTGATTAAATTCAGTATGATATAATAATATTAAAGTGCTTCAATTTTACCATCTTATGCTTTATTCATGTCTTTATGGGCTACTCTATTTATGGAGAAGTGGAAGAACAGAGAATCAGAACTCAAATATATTTGGGATATGCATAAATTTAAACAACAAGAACCATAAAGAGTTATGTATACAGGACTTTATACTGTTGAACCATGCAAAAATAAAGTTGAAGTATATGATTCTTTTACAACATTTAAGAGAAGATTGATTGTTGAATTTCCTGTAATATTATTAGGGTTTTCTATTATTTTGGTAAGTTTTCTAGCATTTAATTAATGGTAAGGATAATAAGATCCATAAAGTGTTTATATGCCTATAATTATAAATTCATTGAATGGAGTTAGTATGACTGTTTTATGTGATTTATATAAAAGACTTTGTAAATTTGTTGTAAATTGGGAGAATCATAAATTTAATTCTGAAATGTAGCATTCTTATGTTTTAAAAGTATTTTTATTTGAATTTTTGATATCCTATATTTCAGTAGTTTATGCTGTATTATTTAAAACAGATTAGACATAATTAACATTATCTGTTGCTAGTATAATTATAACAAGAGGTTTGATTTCTAATTTATAAAGTAATTGTCTACCTTATTTATTATATAAATATTTAAAGTGGGGTTTGAAGGATTAATTTGAAACATTTAAGGTTTTTAAAGAATAATTCAAAATATGTGATATGTAATATGTTAAGGAGAAATTGAAATAAGCTTAATAGATAGAATTTATGAAGTTGATGGAAGATAGTAATAGTAAATAGCCATAAAAAGAATTATATGAAGAATATACTAATATTGCTATTTAATTTGGATATACAACTATGTTTTCACCTGCATTTGCTGCTGCTCCATTATTTTTCCTGTTGAATCAATTTATCAATTTGCAATTCTCAATTTCAAATTATTAGAGAGTTTTAAAGCGAGAAGTAAGATTTTAAAATACTAAAGAGAGCATAAGCTGCTGACTCAATTGGCATTTGGTTGTCCATATTTGAACTAATGAATTACTGTTCTACATTTATGAATTGTCTTGTCATAGGTATTGTGAATAAAGCTGAGTTTGAAGGATTAATAGGAGATAGTAATCCACTAATATAAGTATTAGTATTGGCAGCTATTGAACATATCTTATTATTAATAAAATATTTATTAGGAATAATGATACCAGATTGTCCTTATTGGGTTTCAAAAGAGTTAAGAAAATATGCTTATTTTGAAGGATAGAGTGCTAAAATTCATGATAATAGTGAGATTATTTTTTGATTTTAATTGATTTTATTTATTCTAAATGAAAAGAAGAAGTGTTGCAATATCTAGTTTATCAGGATCACCAAAACGTTAACTTTCATAAATGAGTATACATGGTATCATATATTAATATTAAAGATTTTCCTAATTTGGAACTCTTATCATAAAATTATGAAGATGAGTCATTAGGATATATGTTAACTGAAAGTGTCATTGTGAGTAGATTCATTTGTAGATAGATTATTTAGAAAGCAAGTGATATAATAAAAGAGAATTATGTAATGAATTAATTAATACCTTTTGGATGTTAATGGACTGAATAATTTGCTAATATGATTATAACAGATATTATAGAAGATATGAATTATATAGATTCAAATTAAGATGAAATTGAACCTAAACCATGTCCAATAGAACATTGGAGAAGAATGATTGGTTAAGTATAGAGTCCCAAAAGAACTTTAATTGAAAATAGATCTTTTAGAAGAGAATCTAAATTATAAAGTACTTTAATTAATAAAGGGGATATCCAAAGATTTGATACTTAACCAGTTAAAATGGGAGATTTAGATGACGACGTTGATTTTGATACAGAGATTGAATCTATGCGTTAAGCTAAGGCAAGATAATTATTTAATATGCAATAAATGCAGATGCAAGATTTAATTAAAAAACAAGAATGCCAAGAGATGAATAGACAACTTAAGAGATTAAATGTTGATTCTAAATGTATTAATCAACTTACTTAGCCAAATACACATACGATTTTGAGGGTAGAGTG